CCCCTCTTAAAGCCCTCAAGGTGATACATCGACTCTAAAGGGTATCTCGTCCCCATTTCCGAGCCCGAAAAGGACTTTCAAATTGGGTGTGTAATGTAATCTCCAATAAGTCTCACAACACTCTGCCGTTTCTATTCATTCTGGGAAGTTGCAACCTTGAGACCTTGTTCTGCCCATCTGCGGAAGGGGCCCATTATACCTGCTCCCTGGCACCCAAGCCCACCCCCCCCACAGCCAAAGCCCATGCCCCAAATCCCCTCCTTAAATTACACCCAAAGCTGAATGTTCCTCCCTCCCCGGTTCCCCCATATAGCTAAGCAACCATCTTTTCGAAGAGCTCGCGATGGATGTCTACGACGAAGTGGATCGCCGCGAAAACGACGCCGGTAAAAGCTTGAATCTGTTTTTTCGGGGAGCGGCTCTGTTCTTTCAAGGATTAAGGACTAGAAACTTGCACAGGCTCATCAAAAATCCTTCAGCGCCATATGCAGGTTTCTTGGCCAAATGGGGGACCCTCCCCCCCCTCCCCCCCAGGCCTGTCCAAATTCCGGGGCGGCTGACAGGGAAGAAGGCTGGCGCTTTGACTAACGGTGGCTGCTTCTTCTCTGCTTTCTCACCCCACAAAAGTCTGGCTGACCACGCAGAACCACAGCACTCTGGTGACGGAGCGCAGCGCGGTGCCCTTCCTGCCGGTGAATCCCGAATATTCAGCCACACGGAATCAGGTTATTCTCTCTCTCTCTCTCTTTCCCCCTCCCTTTCCCTTTCTCTCTCCCTATCGTCTGTCTGTCTCTCTCTCTCTCTCTCTCTCATTTATCTATCTGTATCATCTTTCAATCTGTTAATCTATCTGCCTTTTCTCTCTCTCTCGCCATACACAGACATATATATGTATTTCTACTTACGTATCTACCTATCTCTATTTCCCTCTCTCGTTTTTCTTTCTATCTACGTATCTCTCTCTTCATTATCTATTATGTATCATTTTCTATCATCTATATTTATCAATTATCTACCTATCATCTGTCTATATCTATCTCTATATCTATCTATCTATCATGTCTATCTAACTGTCATTTCGCTCGCTTTCTCTCTTTCTGTCTCTCCAAACACAGATTCACATGTATGTATTTCTACCTATATATCTACCTATCTCTATTTCCCTCTCTCATTTTTCTGTCTTTCTATCTACATATCTCTCTCTTCATATGTATCATTATCGATCATCTATGTCTATTTATCAATTATCTATCCATCCATCCATCCATCCATCAGTATCTGTCATGTCTAACTGTCATCTCTCTCTCTCAATGTCTCTCTCTCTCTATATATATATATGTTATATATAAGAACACACACACACACAAACACACACACATATGTTTTCTTAAATTTTCGTGGGCACTTACATGTATGGTATTCAGCTTTGTTCGGGTATTTTCCCACGTCATTGTAGTTGTGCTTTTAAAGTTGTAGCAACGTTTCAGCAGAATCTCATCTGCCATTATCAGGCTTCTGTATTGTGTTCGTCTGTGAGTCAGACTTTCACAGTCGTTTCTGTTTTAAATTTGGGGCTAGCCTACTGCTGTGCCAGAATGGTTTTTTCTTCATCCTGATTGGTTGGGAGTCTTGGTCTGTGTTTATTGGTATTGGAGTTGGCTGTGTTCTGCTTGATTGGTGTTTCTAATATCTTCTGTCTGTTTTGTGGCTTTTTTTGTCTTGATTGGCTGGCAACATTGTGTTCCTGTATTGGAGGCTTTTAGTGCGGCTTGGCTCCGAGTAAATGGACGGCTATCATTTGTTAAGAAGCTAGGTTTCATCTGGGTGCCTGGTTGGGGTGTGTTTGAGCTGGAGGTATCAGGGGGGATCTGTTTGTGCCCAGGTGTTTGCCTGGCTTGTGGTGTGGAGATTTTTTTGTTTGTGAGTGCAGGCTTCCAAATGATTGACAGTCTGGTGGAATCATCTCTTCTATTCATGCTTTCAGGTCTTTTTTCAATCTCTATGGCTTCTCTGATAATTCTGTGGCTGGGGGTTTTCTATAGTGGCTAGGGTTTTGGTGCCACTGAAGTCGACGCTATGACCTGTGGCTTTCATGTGTTGGACGAGTGAGGAAGTGTGTTCCAGCTTTTTGACTGCATTTTTGTGTTCATCCAGGCGGTATTTATTCTTCTATTGGTCTGTCCAATGTATGTGGCCGGGCATGATGCGCAGGGGACTTCATATATGCCTTGGTTTTCCAGGTCAGTTTTATCTTTGGGGTTTCTAAGGATGGCTGCTATATTTCTCGCTGTTTTGAAGGCAGTCTTGATGTGATGCCTGTGCAGTATCGTACTGATTTTGTCTATAGTACCTCTTATGTAGGGCAGGACAGCTGTTCCATAGGTCTGTTCATCTTCTAGGTCTCCATTATGTCTCAGTGTGTTTTTGCGGATCAAGCCGGTGATTTTGCTTTTGTGGAAGCCGTTGGTTGTCAATATTTTAGTCAGGGTGCATAGTTCAGTCTTTATGTGTGTCTTGTCTGCCAGGTGTTTGGTTCTGGCGATTAGTGTTTTGGCCACAGAGTTTATCTGTGCTGGGTGGTGGTGGGATTGGGCGTTGAGGGAGCGGTTGGTGTGTGTTTTCTTCTGGTATATGGTGTGTCCTAGTGTGCCATCTGTTTTTTTGTAGATTAGTACATCTAGGAATGGTAGTTGTTTGTTTGTTTCCGTTTCCATGGTAAATTTGATTTTGGGGTATGTGCTGTTTAGGTGTTTTAGGAAATTGTTTAGGTTTTCTTTTCCATGGGGCCAAATCACAAATGTGTCATCGATGTATCTTAACCATAGTTTGGGTTTGAGGGTGGCATTAGCCAGGGCTCATACATGTAAGTACCCGCGAAAACTTAAGAAAACATATATATGTTGTGACTCTGGGATTTGAATCTGGTCCGTCAGCAGATGGGAGCTCAAGTGAAGAAGACCTGGCACTGAGATTTGAGCCTGCATTGTTGAGTGATTTTGAAGGTAGCCAGGATGAGGAAGTGGACTTAGCTATGAGAGATGAACCTGATTTATTGAAGGTGTCAGACTCCTCCCCCGAATCTCCCTCTCTGATTACACAGCAGCCGGGAACAGATAATCAGGAAAACGTGCCAGAGGTTTCAAGTGAGGAGGAGGGCTTTGGGGGATCTTGGCTTGACGTGAGAAATAGACGGAGATTGAGACGTCAATCTCAATTGGGAAAGAAGCGTCAAGCCAGTGATTAAGTAATGAGACTAACACGCCCCCTTAGGGGATAAAAGGAAACGGATCGGCTTGAGAAATTTGCCAGAAGCAAAGTGTCTTGTTAGAGCGAAAGTACTGTGAAGAGTATCTGAGGCATTGTGATTTATAGGCACTTCGGGATTGCCAGACAGATTTCAGAATTACTGCTGAGGACTGGAAAAAAACTCAGCAGTTATCTTTATTGGGGTTTGTTTTTGATTGCTCACCTGTGGATACAGATGAGAGATAACATATATATATGTTTTCGTAGATTTTCACGGGTACAGGTATGTAGGTCAAGGTGTGTTCGGGTCTTTTCCGGTACGTGTGTGTGGTGGGGGCTGGTGTGCTGGGCTGGTTGGCTGCGCTGCTGCCTCTTGATTCGTTGATGGAGTTGATGTTGGTATAATGGGCTGTGTGATGGCCTTGTGAGTTTTGTTGTGGAGATATCCTGGATCTTGTGCTGTAATCTCCTGGGTCGTTTGTTTTGTAGTGATCTTTTTTCCATGAGCCTCTTGTATTTTAACAGCTTAGGTAATGGGTTGTGTGATGGGCTTGCGAGTTCTTTGGTTCCTTCGAAATTAATTTCATGTCCTGTGGCTTTAAGGTGCTGGAAGAGGGAGGAAGTATTCTCTTCTGACTACGTTTTTGTGTTCTGCGATGCGTGCATTTATTCTCCTGTTGGTTTGTCCAGTGTATGTGGCTGGGCAATTGTTGCATGGTATTTCATAAACTCCTTGGTTTTCTAGCTGGATCTTGTCGTTGGGGTTTCTTAGGATGTTGGCTATGTTTTGGGTCAGTGCCGAAGGCTGTCCTGATATTGTGTTTGTGGAGAATTTTGCTGATTTTGTCTGTGGTGCCTTTGATGTAGGGGAGGAGGGTGATACCGTTGTCTTGTTCTGTATCTTGGTTTTTGGCAGGTATCTCTTTTCAGATTAGATTGGTAATTGTGTTCATTTGGAATCCGTTGGAAATTAATACGTTAGTGAGGGTGTGTAGTTCTGTTCTCAGGTGGTCTTTGTCACTAGGTGTTTGGTTCTGGAGATGAGGGTCTTGGCTACGGAGTTGATCTGTGCAGGGTGGTGATGGGATTGTGCATTTAGGTAGCGGTTGGTGTGTGGTTTTTTCCAGTAGATGGTGTGTCCTAGGGAGCCATTGGTTTTTTGGTAAATTAGGACGTCCAGGAAGGGAAGTTGGTTGTTGGTTTCTGTTTCTGTGGTGAATTGTATTTTGGGGTGTAGGTTGTTAAGAGGTGTGAGGAAGTTGTCCAGTTTTTCTTTCTCGTGTGGCCAAATTACAAAAGTATCATCTACATATCGGAGCCAGAGTTTGGGTTTGTGTTCGGATTTGTCTAGAGCGTTGGTTTCAAAGTGTTCCATGTATAGGTTAGCGATGACGGGTGAGAGGGGTGATCCCATGGGTGTTCCTTCTATCTGTTTGTATCTTTGTCCATTGTGGATGAAGTATGTGTTGGTTAGGCAGCGATTGGTCAGATCTAGGATGCGTTTGGCGGGGTTGTATTTGTTTTGGATGGCTGTCAAGGCTTCTTTGATGGGTACTTGGGTATATCCCTCTTCACAGCAGAAGACCAAGGATACCACAGCAATAAATCTCACAAGGTCATCACACAACTCATTATCCAAGCCGTTACTACACAGGAGGCTAATGTTAAAGAGATCAAAACACAAAACGACCCAGGAAATTACAACGCAGGACCCAGGATACCACAACAAAAGAACTCGCAAGCCCATCACACAACCCATTACCTAAGCCGTTAAAACACAAGAGGCTCATGGAAAAAAGATCACTACAAAACAAACGACCCAGGAGATTACAGCACAAGATCCAGGATATCTCCACAACAAAACTCACAAGGCCATCACACAGCCCATTATACCAACATCAATTCCATCAACCAATCAAGAGGCAGCAGTGCAGCCAACCAGCCCAGCACACCAGCCCCCACCACCAGTATATATAGAGAGACAGCAGCTCCGATCACACACTGCTTGCACGGCACGAAGCCGAAAGCAACAGCCTGAAGATGGCGAGTCGGGCCTCGCCGAAACGTCGCCAAGATACTCTTAATCTTACACAGGAAAAGACCCAAACACACCTTGACCTACATACCTGTACCTGTGAAAATCTACGAAAACATGTATATATGTTTTCTTAAGTTTTCGTGGGTACTTACATGGAAAAAAGATCACTACAAAACAAACGACCCAGGAGATTACAGCACAAAATCCAGGATATCTCCATAACAAAACTCACAAGGCCATCACACAGCCCATTATACCAACATCAATTCCATTAACCAATCAAGAGGCAGCAGCGCAGCTAACCAGCCCAGCACACCAGCCCCCACCACCAGTATTTATAGAGAGACGGCAGCTCCGATCACACACTGCTTGCGCTGGCACGAAGCCGAAAGCACCAGCCTGAAGATGGCGAGTCGGCCCTCGCCGAAACGTCGCCAAGATACTCTTAATCTTACACAGGAAAAGACCCGAACACACCTAGACCTACATGCCTGTACCCGTGAAAATCTATATTTCTGTCTCTCCATACACAGACACACATATGTATTTGTACCTACGTATCTATTTCTCTCATTTTTCTGTCTTTCTATCTACATCTCTCTCTCTTCAGCATCTATTATCTATCATCTATCTCTATATCTATCTATCTATACATACACACACGTATGTATTTCTACCTATGTATCTACTTCTCTCTCTCTCATTTTTCTGTCTTTCTATCTACAGTATCTCTCTTCCTCCCTTTATTATCTCTCTTTATCTATCTATCAACCACCTATCTGTCATATCTATCTGTCTCTTTCTCTCTCTCCATCATCTTGACTTTTTCGACCACCCTTCACTGAGACCCCCGGGAAACAGACATTATCCCAATCCCGGCTGTCTTTAGATTTTCAGAGTGTCAGAACCATATGTGGAGTCAAGAGAGGCAACCACCCCAAATCCCTACATAGCCACAAGCGAATTAAGTCCAACTTTCTTTTGCATTCCATTGAGCGCCATCTAACTCCGGGAGGCAGGTGCTGACTGTGAGCGGGGATCCGTTTTAGCCATAAGGTAAAGGTTCCCCTTGCACACATGTGCTGGTTGTTTCCGGCTCTAGGGGGCGCTTCTCATCTCTGTTACAAAGCTGAAAAGTCAGCGCTGTCCAAAGACGTCTCCGTGGTCATGTGGCCAGCAGGTCTCAACGCCTTCGAAGGCGCACGGAACGCTGTTCCCTTCCCACCAAAGGGGTCCCTATTTTTCCACTTGCGTTTTTTTTTTACCTGCTTTCGAACCGCCAGGTTGGCAGAAGCCGGGACAAGGAACGGGAGCTCACTCCATGATATGGCGCTAGGGATTCGAACCACCAAACTGCCGACCTTTCTGATCGACACTGTTAGGAATTGATAGTCAGCTAACAGTTGGGTTGGAAATATATAAGCCAGGATAGACATTCAATACTGCCTCTTTAAGGGAATGCTAAAATTGTAATTGGGTGTGGTTCCTCAAATGGCTGTTAGATGGAGTCAGAAACCTGGGTTGTTCTGTTGTTGGTAGTTGCTAGTTGGTCGATGTTCTGATGTTCACTGTTTTTGGTTCCCTATTAACTATTGCTGATCGTCGTTCTCCTTGGACTGCTGTGATTCTTTTACTGAACTGTTTATGATACTGGACTTTGTTATTTGGATTATCCCTGGATTGAATACTGACTACTTTAACCGTGTATGACTTGGACTGTTTGTTGGACTTTTACTGGACCCGTTTACTGGAAGTAAAACCTACATTTTACTATTCAGTGTATCTGTGTGCTGGTCGTGTGTTATTCAACATCACTCTCACTACGTCTCCCTGGGTGCACTCATTCTCCTAACGGGGAATTACCTCAACAGACACGCTCAGCGTCTTCGCCACCGAGTCCCCCCTTCTTTTAAGCCATAAATCTGTTTTAACTGGACGTTCACGTATGCAAGTCCAAGTTTTTGCAACTAACTCTTTATTCTTAATAGCTGCTCTGGCCCACCTCCCTGTCCTGGTACCTCCGACGGATTTTGGGCACATGCTCAACGTTGAGCCTTGCGAGCGAAGTTTTGGGTGGTCTCCATGCTCCTGTCAACTGATTGAAATATTTCTCGGGTCTTTTTAGAGTTGCCAACCGAAAGAGAGGGGGGAGCAGTGTGGCAGCTTGCCAACCGAAAGCGCATTTCATAATATATTTTTTTTCAAAGATAATAACTAGGGAACCAAAGTTTCTGCCGTGCAAAATTCTAACTGGAGAGCCTGATGGATGACTCTGGGCTATGGATGTGTCCCATTGGAGGATACGGATTACGATACACTCAGAGAGGTGGAGGGAAAACCAGGGTCAAGGATGACAGTGAATGACATGTCTCAGAGTCGGCTGCACCCAGGCAGTGCCGGCATGTTAACTCCCAATAAATCCTTTGGAAGTTTGGCTCGAGACTCCTGATTTAAATGGGTGTGTGTGTGTGTGTGTGTGTGTCACTGCTAGAATCTAGACAGCTGCTTCTTGGGGGAGTAGAGAGCTTCGGTCTGACCGCCTCCTTTCCTCCCTTGCCCGCAGGGACGGCAGAAGCTGGCCCGTTTCAACGCCCGGGAGTTTGCCACCCTCATCATCGACATCCTGAGCGAAGCCAAGCGGCGCCAGCAGGGCAAAGGTCTGACCAGCCCCACTGGTGAGTCTGGAGAGAGACGGGGGGGGGGGGCGGGGGGCAGGGGGGTCTTGGGGTGTGTGTGTGGGGGCGTTTTAACCCCTTGGTTGTTGCTGCAGAGGCCTTCGACTCCTCCGTCCACGGGACCAGCGACCTGGACGACCAACACGACTACGACAGCGTGGCCTCCGACGAGGACACCGACCAGGAGCCCCTGCGAAGTGCCAACGCTGCGCGCAACAACCGTGCTCGGGTGAGACCCCCGGGAACGGGGCAGGGAGGGGAGGAAAGGAGGGAGGAGATATTCGTGGCAGGGAGAGCAATAAGTCAGCGGAACGACCTGCCACCGGAAGTTGAGGGTGCTTCATAAGTGGAGGTTTTTAAATAGGGTCTCCTGCTTGCTCGGGGGGGGTTGGACTGGATGACCTCCAAGGTCCCTTCCAACTCTGTTATTTTATAGGAAGGAAGGAGGGAGGGAGGAATAGAGGGAAAGGAACAAAAAAGATAAGAGAGGGACAGAAAGAAGAGGAAGGGAAGGAAATGAGAGGAAGATGAAAAGAAGGAATGGAAAGAGAAGGGAAAGAGAGGAAGGGAAAGGGGGAGGGAGGGAAGGAGAAAAGGAATAGTGGGAAAGATAAAAGAGATAAGAAAAAGATAGAAAGAAGAGGGACGGAAGGAAGGAAAAAAGTGGAAGGAAGATGAAAAGAAGGAATGGAAAGAAGGGAAGGAGGAAGGGGAAGGAGAGGAAGGGAAAGGGGGAGGGAGGGAGGGAAGGAGAAAAGGAATAGTGGGAAAGATAAAAGAAATAAGAGACAGATAGAAAGAAGAGGGATGGAAGGAAGGAAAAAAAGTGGAAGGAAGATGAGAAGAAGAAATGGAAAAAGGGAAGGAAAGGGAAAGGAGGGGAAAGGAGGGGAGAGGGAAATGGGGAGAAGGGAATGAATGAAAGAAGGAAGGAAGGAAGGAAGGAAGGAAGGAAGGAAGGAAGGAAGGAAAATGGGAGGCAGATGAGAGGGAATGGAAAGAAGGGGAGAGGAGAGGAAAGGAGGGGAGGGAAATGGGGAGAAGGGAATGAATAAAGGAAGGAAGGAAGGAAGGAGGGAAGGAAGGAAGGAAAGAAAAGAAAAGAGCACATTCCACCAGAGGCCAGCCTTCTCCAGTCTTCTTCACTGTCTCCCATGGAAGAGTACCGTCCATCTCAGAGCAAACCAAAGCTGACCCCCTTCTCTCCCCCCCCCCCCCCCGGCCGAGCCATGGACTCCTCCGACCTCTCGGACGGGGCCATCACCCTGCAGGAGTACCTGGAAGTGAAGAAGGCTCTGGCCGTCTCCGAAGCCAAAGTCCAGCAACTCGTGAACGTGAACAACAGCCTGAGCGACGAGTTGCGGCGGCTGCAGAGAGAGCCAAGTTACCCGGTGGGGAGGGGGGGAGCAGCAGAAACCCCCTCCCCTCCCATGCCTGGGACCCCGGTAGGGCCACTCTCAGAGCTGGGGGGGTTTCGGCCCTTGCGGAAGGGCATCTGATTAGGGAAGTGAATCCGTTCTCGCTAACCTCGCAGGTTGTTAAGGGAGATTAGTTCTCACTGAACGACGGGAGGGATTCAACCAGGTGTAAACAACCCGTCTGGGGCCGGGATGGGATTCTACCGGTTTGAACCAGTTCTGTAGACCCGATGGTTACGATTCTGTGCAGTTCGGAGAACCAGCTCGGGCTGGCGCCTCCCCTCGCCGCCCATTCAGTCCTCACCGCGCATGCAAAACATCGCGCGCATGCCTGGCGTTGCTGACTGCATTGTCCCCCGC